GCTGTCATATCAAATACAATAATCTGTCGAAAGCAAAACTAGAAAAACCATAGTCTTTAGTTATTTCCATGTCTTGATCATAAACAGCCCAGAATTCTAGTAGTTCGATTAGATATGCAACATTTACAAAGTACGCCGGGTTAGAAGGATCTTCCAGTGACTTCGACTTTTATCCTTGAGAAATTCACATCATATTAAAAGAGCGCAGGCTCTTTTACAATGGTTCTTATGCCAGCAAACAATTCCCCCCCCTCCCTTCCCCCCTCCGTATTTTACCATTATCATAATGGTATTGAAGACTTTGTATCGTGAATTTCAATTTCTCACTTGGATTAAAATAAATTGAAACAAAGCTTTCACATCTTGTTATTGATGCAAGGCAACAATTCTTCTGACGAGGTTTCAGTCGATTTTGTTAAGTTGATATACCTTTCTCCTATTTGTTTGGTGGTTTACATAAAAAAACAACTGATAAAGACCCTGGGAGCCCTGGAACACTATCGAGCACAGTTTTCATCAAAAGGGAGCCGGATTTCATTGATTTATATTTGAGAGCTAAGGTAGCTGTCTCCTTTGCAGACGTTATTAGTATCGGTCATACACATTCTCTCTTATGACACATACAAATAACGTCTGCAAAGGGGGCTAGAACTAATAATAATATAATGATATTAATTTCTATAGAATCTTTCCTAAAGCTGAAAGTGCTTTACACTAAAATAAATACTAATCAAATGCTTGTTTTAAAAAAAGAAATTGTTTTAAGTTGAAGACTGAACCCCAGATAAACATCCACAAATCTGCACATCACATCACTGTTAGTTCACTTTTCAAAGAATAAATGTGTTCATTTTGCTGTAAGGCTGACTTATAATTGTCTTCCTGAGACGGCTTTACGAGCTGCATTTATGAAAGGAATTGTTGTATTCGTAGCATTCATGAGAACTGTCTTCGATAGCTCAAATTGTTATGGAATGAAAGCCCGTATGGAGAGCAAACAATAATTAGCTCTGAGCCCTAACTCGTTTTGATGCGTGGGATGCTCGGATTTGCATTGTGGGAAGCATCCACGGAGAAGGCATCCTCCTCAGGCAACTCTACATAAACTCATTTTCTTTTTATTTACTAGCGGTTGGGCTTCCTTTGGCGAGACGCGGGGGAGATTGAGGGTGAGAGAGAAAGAGGAGGACTTCTTTTGTTCTTCCCTTAATTGTAACAAGACAAAACATTCCATTGTTTACACTTTCACACTGGGGAATTGACTATTATCAAAATGCCAGTGCAGGCGCGAATAGCCTCGGTCCTTGGATAGAAAACAATAAAATAAACAATCAATTTACGCATAATTTTTAGGATATTCCCGTCTGTACTGAAATTTTAAGAGCCA